ATGTTTAACTTTTCTGCATTAGAGATTTTCCTATAATTATTTAACAGCATGTCCAGTGGACCAGCCTTTAGCTCGTCAGTCGGAATTAAACCCTACTTCTCCAAATGATGGTCTGTCACACAACTATCATTATAAAAGACCTGAACTATTATTTTAAAACAAACAACATGACTTTAATTTGAAAACAGCAGGGTCTTGATTTGATGACCCTCTCCCCCGTTCTCCCGTTAGTCTGTAATCTTTGCTGTTCTGCCAACAAGAACCAAAGTCCAGTTCAGACTGAGGACTTTCTGTTGTGTAAGAGCTGACAACAGATACAAACTCACTGATCACTTTCTAACAAACTGGAGCAGAAAAAAAAAACACTTTTTATGCACTTTTTAAAATATCTATAAACTCTGACAAATTTTTCATTAAGTGGAGTTAAAACCAGTTTGTTTGTTTTAATGTTTAATTAGAGTAAAACGCTCCAAACAGGAAAAATAAAAGCCATTTTAATGTTATTATTTTTTAGCACCAGCAGCTGAACCCACCTGTAAGCCAGGGACATGCACTCAAACAGGCGGGTCAGAGTCGGGTCGATGCTCAGGCTCCCGGAGTGGTACCAGTACGTCTGGCACCAGGTCCGGTTCACCGTGTCGAAGTCGTACCGGACCGAACTGCCGCTCTTCCTCCGGCGCGCCGTCGAGTCGCTGTGGGGGGAGGACACCATGAAGTGTCCGCTGTGGATGACCTGGCTGCCGGGGAGAGAGCCGGGCCAGGCTCCGGCGACGCACTGCGGCCGAGCTGGACCCGGCTCCGGCTCCGAGTCCGACTCCGAGGAGTCGTGCAGCTGGTTCCGTCGGGCCGAGCGAACGCTGCCTCCGGCCGCCATGGAGCGCYTGTGTTCCGGTGGCTTTCTGAACTTTCTCCTCGGCTGACCCTCCACCCCCCCGCTGCTGGCGCACAGAAAGGTGGAGGCGCTTCTGGTCCCACAACAACAACAACACACCTCTGGGCCTCTGAGATAACAAAAGTCCGTCTTCAAAGTTTGTTTCAGACAAAACTGACTGAAATAAAATAAAAACCTTACCTTACTGGCATTATGAGCTGGCAGACAGACAGACTAAAATATAAGCCTAAACCAAAATGATTACTATGACTATAAATCCTAAATTTAAAATTCCTGAACCCTGAGCAGCAGAAGTTGGTAACATGAAATTTTATTGCCCTACATGTAAAAGGACAAATACTGTAAATATTATAATCTTATGCCCATATAGTGCTGGCCTTCAACAATTACTAAGGGTCTGTTCCCAAAATGGTTATGACTTTGACATCAAGTATAATGCTAAGAAAAGCAATGTTATGATTGTTAGAAGTAGAGCAGATAAGCATCTGATAACCCCTGACTTCTCTTTATCTGACATTGTCCTCAATATTTGCAATGAAATTAAATATTTGGGACACTATATAACTGATGACCTGTCTGATGATCGTGACATCTGTAGACAGTACTGTATGATGTATGTAC